CTCCCCTCCCCTCCCCTCCACCTGTGATCAGCTTTCCCTCTTTGCCAACTTGTCTTCCAATAAGCAGGTCAGGACAGTGTTCTCCAAACCTGCCCCCCCGACTCTCTCTGTTCCCGGACAGCTGACACAAGATGCTGGCCTCACCCCTGAACTGAATCTCCTGGCCACCATGCGTCCTGCGGGCTGCCGAACCAGAACCACGGGCCGGAGCTGCCGGGGGCTCGTCCAGTTCAGCCCCAGGAAGACACACTGCGCCTCGAGGCGGCAGAACAAGTTCCTCCAGAAATCAGCAACAGTAACATTTAATTTTGCTCCTGTGGGGCCAGTCTTTTCTCTGATGGAAAGCCCACCTCTTCTCACAGCTGCAGGTGGTCTCTGAAGGACCCTGGGAGGCTGGTCTCCCCCCAAGCAGGATGTCCCAGCCCAGTGGGGGGGCTTGGCTTCAGAAACGGGGGCGATGCTTCGTCAGAGTGAGCACGGACATCAACCACCAAGCTCGTCTCCTCTCCCCAGGTCTGCTCGGTAGCTTGTCCAGCTGACCAACCTCCGGGCCCTGGCTCCTTGGTCAGGCAGGAGCTTCTTCCATAAAACCCCGGGCCTAAAACACCTTCTTGGGCACACAGCCCTGCAGTTCTAGCAGCTCAGGCCACCCATCGTACTTGTTTTGCTGTGGGACGTTCTTTAACCACTGGAGAGAAAGGAGAGAGAGAGATGAGGGAGCCAAACAGAGAAAGAGAGAGAGATTACTCGGATTGGTACTGTGCTTTAAGACTCCAGTGCCGCCGCCCACTGCATTTTCACCAAAACGCTATTTGAGAAGAAGGTGTTGGATGTTCTGATCCCATTCCACAAGTGGGGGACTGAGCTCAGATCCAGAGGCAACTTGTCCAGTGTCTCAGAGGTGAGATGGCAGACCAAGTGTGGAGACTGTGGATAGGAGATGCTTGGAGGGATTTAGCACTGGTTCCCCCCACCGCCATTCTCCACCAGCCCCTCTGGGACACCTCAAATACAACAGTAGAGAGAACCCCAGCCATCTTCACAGGTTTGCTCTGGGCTGGGCACCGTTCTAAGCGAGTCATCGATTTAATCTTCACAATGGCCCTGGGAAGTGCACACAGCGATCACTCCATCCCATAACGGGGAAACCGAGGCACAGTCACCGCCGACAGCCATCCAGTCAGGATGCAGTGTCATTGTGCAGTGTCAATTCACAACAGCAGGAGTGGGCAGATCACACCACCACGGAGGTAAATGTGCTCCGCCTCGTCGCTAGGAGCAGAAAGTAAATACATCGACTACCGGCACCAGAGTGGCTGATTCTCAGAAAGACGAAGAAGATGGTTCTCTGAACCCCAGCTTTCATGGTGCTGTGTCCCAGTCTGGTGGTCACCAACACCAGGTCGGTGGTGGTGCCAAGTGGCCTTAGTTATTTACTTAGTCTTGGCCCAGGGGTTTTGAGTCTGGAACCGTCACTTCCAGGAAGGACAGTGCTTGCTGTTCCAGCGTGGCCCTGAGCTCTGCTTCCCACGAGGATCCCACCTGTTGGCTGGCCCCTCCAGACCATCTGGAGGCCCCTGGTCCTGCGTCTTCTCAGACGGTGCCGCTAAGCTCACCCACTTTCTCGTCTAGCCAGGCCACGCTGTGGCATGTTACTGTCATTTCCTAGGAACATCTGTTTTTTATTTCTCTAGGGTAAAATAGTGGGAGAAAGAAGAGGCTTTCTACTTTCGTAAAGGGCCACAGTCCCTGAAAGCCACAGGGGCAGTTCTACCCAGCCCTGCCAGTCCCTTTAAGCTGGAATCGGCTCAATGGCCATGAGTGAGAAGGTAGGACATCCAGGAGGGGGATCGTTGGCGCACACGGTATGTGCCTGTGACGCTTTTCTTAGGAAAAAAATTTTTAAGCGTTAGTTTATTTTGAGGGGGGAGCTAGCAAATTGACTGAAGGTTCACAGAACAGACCATCAAGTTGACGTCCAGTAATTCCTACACGTCTTGTTTCCTGACGAGTCTGGGGAAGCCAGGGTGGTGGAAGATGTAGCTAGGATCGGAGGATTCTGTCGTGAGGGATTGTGAACAGGGTCACTCTGGTGTTTCAAACCACTCTGTAAGACGGGAGGACTCAAAGGCTGGAGGTGGGGCAGGGCAAGCTACTGGGAGATTTGGGAAGCTGTGAAGGTTGTTGGTTACAAAATACATGATCAGAAATGTAAACTCCCACCTAGTTCACCCTAGAAAGTTAAAACAACAACCAAGCAAGAAGTCATTGTAGAAGATGTCATTTTGAAAGGGGAGGGAAGCTAGTCCTTCAGAGGACGGCCGGCAGTGAGGTGAGATGACCCGGTGGGGCCCTTGTAGCCAGAGCCTCTGTCCGTCCCACCATGTGACTGGGTGAGGGCACTCGAGTAAGGTGTAGAAGATTCTAGGGTGGGGATTGGTTGGCTTCACCATTGCTCTGGGTATAAAGTGAGCCATCTCAGAAACGAAGAAGGATCCCACAAACAGCACAAAGGAGGAACCAAGGCTGATATATGTCCAAGAGCCTACCTGGGAGAGGCAGTGCCTAGACCCTGAGACAGAGTGGTGGGCTTTTTGACCCCCGAAACAAGGAAAACGGAGTGCCTTGGGGCGGGAGGCTGGCTTTGAGCCTCACCAGCACTGAAGGAGCTTTGTGACATCCATCTGATCAGAACACAGGCCGAGGGACCTGAGGACAGAAGGACTGTAAGTCCTTAGCGTTTCGTAGCCGGTGAGCCTCCCCAGTAGGCCCCAGAAGTATAACTACAGGGAGGACGGAGCCAGCAGAGAAGCCGATTGTGTGGGAGGGAGTGTCCGGATGAGGGGCGGAGGCCGGAGGCGTGTCTGTCCACTCTGCCTCACGGGACTCATCCTTGGGCAGCATGCAGTGGGAGCCGCCTCCTCCCTTCGGTAGCCTGAGGAGGTCAGGCGTGGCTTTGCCACCATTTGCATTGGCTGCTAACTGAAAGGTTGGTGATTAGAACGCACCCCAGGCTGAGGCTTCGAGGGAGTAAGACCTGGCACCCTGCTTCCCCACAGGTCACAGTCAGGATCCCCTAGGGGGCAGCTCTGCTGAGTCACCCTGAGTCACCATCAACCCCACAGCTCCAGGTTGACTCCGAGTGCCCCCTACGCCCGGGCCCACACCTCGTCCTTCTCCAGCTGGGAAGAGGCCAGGAACCCACCTGCTCGAAGGGGCTTTTATTCTTGAGGTTTTTGGCCCCTAGGAAGACCCAGCTGTCCCGGAACCCAAGTTGCTTTGCATGGGTACTCCCCAAGTCGGAGAAGAGCTTCCTGATGGCGTCATTCAGCCTGCAGAGGGCAGAGAGGGCGGTGAGGGTGGCAGGCTGCACCTGCCCTCCTCTGGCTTTGGCGTCCTTGCCCTGGCAGGGGCTGTGGAATGGGGCTCAGACGAAAGGTCCAGGGTGGGAAGCTCCCAAACCTTTCTCTCCAAAAGGGGCTTGGGTGGGGCCGGGGAGGTGTGGGGACATCGGATCTTCCGGTACCAAGCATGTGCTTGTTGGGAGGATGACAAAGAAGATGATACCTTGTTGCTATCATCACTACGCCACGCGTCTCCTTGTGTCCCTGGACAGGGGGGACCTGGCGGCTGTTTGTGACTTCCTTGTTTTCTTTTTGTGTGTGTGTGTGGGTTAGGTATTAGGCTTTAATAACAAGGTTGGAGGTTCAAACCCACCAGCCACTCTTTGGGAGAAAGATCGACTTCCTTGTTTTCACCGGGCACTCCGGAAGGAGCATTTTTTCCCATGCCCTTCCGGACTTTCTACACCATCATTTTAGCCGCAGCAGACCAACTCATGTCCGTGTCATAGGTGTATGATAACACAGCACTTGCTGTTAAGTGGGAGTCAGGCCAATTCTGACCCACAGGGACCACCTGTAAGGAGCACTGTGTGGCGCAGTGAGGAAGCACTTGGCTGCTAATGAAAAGGTCAGGGGTTCCAGCCCACCTGCCGCTCCGAGGGAGAAACATGTGACTGTCATCTGCCGATGACAGCGTTGGGAACCCCGTGGGGCAGTTCTACTCTGTCCTGTGTGGTTGCTGCGAGTCGGAATCGCCTCGACGCCGGAACACCCCTGACGAGTGGATCACCAGATCCCTGCCGGTGGATTCCAACCAGTGACCTTTAGGTTTGTGGCGGAGTGCTTAATGCCCGCAACACCAGGACTCCTACCATACCCTCTCGTTGCCATGAGTCAAGTCCCACTCACAGGCACACTCTAGAGAGCTCCCGAGGAGCAGGGAGTGGGTTCGCACGGCCAACTTGTTGGTTAGCAGCCAAGCGCTTAACCACTGCCATTAGGGCTCATCACAGAGCGCTGCGTCTGCATAGGGCAGCAGGTCATCTATATAAGCAGCGGGATGTCCCTGGATGGGAGGCGGTTTCTAGTTGCCCATGCGGCAACCAGGCTGTGATGGACACTGGGTAGCATCCAGTCACTTCCCGAGGCCAAAGGGCCAGAGGGTGCCGGGCGGAGCCCTCCTCTTACTTGGTCCCCGGGTCGTCGTAGGAGGCTACCAGCACCAGCATGTCTTCGGGGATCTCCTTGAGGAACTTCACCAGATGGTCGGGATCTGGCAGAGGGAGGAGAGAGGTGCTGGCCATTGCGCAGAAGTGACTGCTGCCTGATATCTCCGACTCCCCTGGGGGAAGGCTCATGGGGGTAGAGTGGGCGAGCCCCGTGGCTTGGGATGTGCCCAGGTGACTGACTGTCACATGCACTGGTTGTGAACCACTGGTCTAGGGGGTCCAGCAGGCAGCTCTTGGGAGGCTATGGCTGTCTGCCTCCCACACCCACATGCCTTCAGCCTGCTGGATCTCACCGCGAACACAGGGCAGCTTGTTGGTGGCACCAAGTCAATTCCAACTAAGGGGACCCTGCGTGAGGGGGTCGCACAGCCTGTAGGGCGTCCTGGGCTATGGGACTAGATGGCTGTCTCTCCCTCCCCTTTCCTCCACGCTCCCTCACCCCCTCTGCTCTCTTCCCCTCCCTCTCCTGCCTTCTCCCCCTCTCTCATCCCCTCAACTCTTCTCCTCTCCCCCTCATTGCCTCTCACTCTCCTGTCCTCTCTCACTCACCTCGCCTCGCCTCTGCTCTCTTCCTCTAACCTCTCCCTCTTCTCCTCTCCTGTCACTCTCCCTCCTCTCACCTCTAACCTCTCTCCCTCTCCTCTCCCCCTGTCACCACGGGGCAGATCTGAACAGCGTTGCCACCAGACGCCTCCAGTAGCTCTTTGGGTCCCAAGGCCCCGGAGCTTTTAAAGGCAGAGCCGTAGGAGCAGTCTGTTAAAGCCTCGACTTGGTCTGAGCAGATATTAAGACGGGCTAAGGGCAGGCAGCGGCGATATCTAGGGCCTGGGGCTGGGCTGCCAGAGAGAGGCTCCAAGTGTGTCTGTGCTGAGAATGAAGGAAGAGGTCTGCCGCTGCACAGAGCGCCCAGCTGTCCCCTCTGGCCTGGGGAAGCCTTGTGCTGGCCCTGGGATCTTACGCCAAGCACCTGCTGCCTGCCTGTGTAAGCTTGAGCAGCCGGTGTCCCTGCCATGGGCACTCAGGGCCCCACAAAGCACCTACCTCCAGAGTACATGTCGAAGGAGCTGTATTTCACCATGACCCCGGTAGTGCCTAAGGGTTTAAGCAACAGAAACATTACTTCCTGTAACACATGCCATCCTGGCAGTCATCCCGCTGAGCATGGCTGCTCCTGGGCTCGCACGTCTAAGGATGAAAACTGTAATGTAAGGATTAATAAGGATGAACACTATAATAACAGCACCATCAAGCGAGGCCATGCAGCAAATGTGCAGTCACCCAGAGGCCTTGGTTGGGCTCCTGGGCCTCTGCTCTACCTTGCATTTCCAAACACGTAGCATCTCCATTTTTGAATCTGCACAGATTCAATAAGCAGCATGCAAAATGTGCAGCAAGTGAACAAGATAAAATTTAGCTGCAAAATAATATTTCAAAAGTAACCTGCTGCTGCAGATTCTGAACCACAGCGGCCCTGTGAGTTACAGGGAAGAGCTAGCTGCTCCGGCGGCTTTCCTCGCCTGTGATCTTTGGAAAAGCACACCGCTAGGCCTTTCTTCCGCACCTATGTTGGATGGGTTGGAACTGCCACCCTGTTGATCACTAGTCAAGTACACACCTTTGCCCCACCCAGAGACTTTTAAGTGTCATCATTAAGCCAAAACCCAATGCCATTGGGCCAATTCTGACTCCTAGCTGCTCTTCACAGGGCTGTAAATTTTTACAGGAGCAGACAGCCTCATCTTTCTTTTGTAGTGTGCATAGTGAGTTTGAACCACCAACCTTGCGGCTAGCACTCCAACCCTTACCCGAGACAGTGTACCAGACATCAGTAAAAAAACCTCACTGCCATTGAGTGAATTTCAGCTCTTATCAACTCTACAGGACAGAGACCTCCCCACAAGATTGTAAATCTCTCCCCAAGATTTGGTAGTTTCAAACTGAGGTTAGCAGTCCAACGTGTAATCCCTTACAGGCCAGACATTACATTCATTGCTATCAAGTCGATTCCAACTCACAGCAACCCTATAGCACAGGGTAAAACATTCCGTGTGTTCTAGACACTATAATTCTTTATGGAAGTGGAAAAGCCTCGTCTGTCTTCTGTGGAACAGCTGGTGGTTTTGAACCAACGACCTTAACAGTAGCCTGAAGTGTAACTCACTATGCTACCAGGGCTCCTACTCCAGGGCACCAGATATTAATCCCATCTAAATAGAAAGTTTGGGATTTCTCAAACTTTTGAGGACCAAGTATTTTTGGTGGGCTGAACGTTAGTCAGGGTCTCCAAGCTCAGTAATCTTGAATTGCATGTACAGGCTTTACCGAGGGAGGATTTAAGAGGTGTTCTGCAGGAAAGTGGCAGTTCTCAATTATGACCACTAGATGGGAGTATTGCAGAGGCGATCGCCACCCTACAACAACCCTAAGGTTTACAGAATCCAGAAGAGAGGCTGGGGACGGCGGCGAGGGGGTAGGGAAGGAGAACAGGTCCCTCCAGGGCCTCTCTGTTTCCCAGCTTGGTCTAGGACAGGGTGGGGAAGCGGGGTGGGGGGTTCACTTTGCAGCCTCTCCACGATACTCGCTCTCACTGGTGTTCCAGTCCCTTGAGGAGCTTCACCATAGACTCTTGAAAGGGGACCTATGACTCCTTGAAATTGCCTCATAATTATGCCGCCCCGAAATGGAGGGTACAGGGATGCTGTGGAGCATAGCTTGAAGCATTTCTCTAAATTCTGGTCACGTAAAGGTTAAGAACTTCAGATCTGGCTAATCATCCCCAAGCAAAGGTTGTGAGGGGAGAAAGTAGCCCCCCCCCCGTTATTATCAGCACACGTGTAATGCCACAAGGCACACCCAGAGGCCACTCCACCCATGACCACCTCTCCTCTTTGCAATCCCATGTTCTCCCAACTCACACGTGGGGGTCCCGGAGAGGGCGTGGCCAGACTTCCCACAGCCGGCGTGTGTGGGTGGATACTATGAACACTTGGGGTCACCCATCTGGACTCCAACCTAAGTCATTCTGTGCACTGGCTGGGTGACCTTGGGCAAGTGGCTTGACTTCTCTGAGCTACCCTTCCCCATTTGGAAAATGGGGACACGGGCATAGCTTAGCATGGTGCTGAGGTTTAAAATAAAAAGCCACACTCACTGCTACGGAGTCAATTCCGTCCCGTAGCTAGCTGGAACGGAATCAAGTTCCGCTTGCTGATGGTTATTTGTAGCCGGGGGCTGGGCAAAAGGATGACCACTTGCCCGCAGTACCGGCCCCACGTTCTGTGGGCGGCTCAGGCTGGGTTTAGGGGTGAGCCTCGAGGGCCGCCATGCTCCCTAGGACTTGTGGTTCCTCCCGGGACAGGGAGAGGCCTGGCTGGGGCTGTGGGTCGCCAATAGGAGGTGTCGAGTCGTTTCTGACTCGTGACCTCATGTCAGGGCAGAACTGTGTTCCACAGGGTTTCCCAGAAAGATCTCCAGGCCTTTCTTCCAAGGAGCTTTTGGGTCTTTCAGCACCTCCACCCTTTTGGCTAGCAGCCAAGCATGTGGGGTGGACTGGTCTCATGTACCGTCTGCGCCTCGCCCGAGGCCTGGCGGCGTAGTGGTTATGCCTGCTCTAGGCTTCAATCCACAAGGCCCACAGTTCAAAACCACCAGGTACTCCAGCCACTTTGCAGGAGAAAGTCGACTCCCGTAAACCAGTGACGATCTCAGAAAGCCACAGGGGCAGTTCTCTCGGTCCCCTATAGTGTCAATCTGCGCCGACTCCACGTCTGGAGGGCGGGCAGCGACTCACCATTGATGAGAGCGATATTCAGGCCTCTGTCCACGTTGTTTTTCACAGGGCTCATGATCCTGAAGAAGAACAAGTGAAAACAAAACACAACAGTTGGTCCCCGAGCGGGAAGGCGCACTCCGCTTTCGCACCCAGAGTGCCCACATGGCGCGGTGCGGGGAGCACCCGGAAATACACGGAATAATTAGGGCCATCTGCTTTCTGCTGGAAACTGGCAGTGGGCAGGACTCTGCAGCCTGGCGCAGCTCAGAGAGGAGGGATGGCCAGGCCTGGCGTTCCGTGGGTTGCACGTGGTGCCACCCCCTCACCCACGCTGAGAGGCAGAACTCAGAGCGGTGTCTGGGTCTGGTCACCAGTGGGGAGCCTGGTAGCCTCACCCCGACTTCTGGAAGTTCCCGGGAGGCGTTGAGGTCTTCAGTCTCAGCTCGCGTGGTTCTCTGAACTGTCCCCTCCCTCCTAGGCCGTGACGTGTCCCTGTGATTGGGCCGGGCATGGTCATGTGACCCAGGGCAGCCAGTAAGATGCCGTCTTTAGACTTTCACCGGGATAATGCTGAAGGGAGCCATTCACTTTTCAGTTGGGGGCGGGGGGTGTGTGTGTGTGCTATGTCAATCCCCTTGGGGAGGTCTTCCCTCTTAGTTCAGTGCAGAAGCCCATTTGCAGCAGGGAAAACCGAAGCTCAGCCACAGAGTGAAGCAGAGCAAAGGCTGGTGAGAGTGGAACCGCTGAAGACATGGGTTGACTCCCTGGATCAAGCTGGACCTGAAGCCTGCTGCCTCTGTTTTTTGGACACATGAACCAATGAATGGCCCGACCCCCCTTTCTAGCCCCTTAAAAAAAAGTTGTAGTTCGTTTCAAAATTCTAACAAAAACATCATTTTTCTGGCTTCTTTTGTAGGGAAAACTTGCTGCCCCAGGGCCTTCCTTTCATGGGCTGTATTATAGGTCATTCCTGCTGCCTCCAGGCTGGGATGCCATTCGTGAACCCTCCCTATAGCCGTTTTCCTTCTGAGAAGCCTAGGCGTTTGGCTACCACACAGTCTTTAGTGCAAATCACTGGCCAGCTTTACAATCGGAATGAAACGGCGTGATGGAGAGAGTGAGAGGATGCTATGAAACACAGATGCTGTTAGGATTATTACTTATAGGACAGCATAGAACTGCCTCTGTGAATTTCTAAGGCGGTAACTCTTTAGGGGAGCAGGAAGCCTCATCTTTCTCCTGCTGAGAGGCTGGTAGGCTCGTAGTGCTGACCTGGCAGTTAGTGGCCCAACTCCCCACCCGGGTTCCTCAGTGATCAAAGGTCTGAGGAAGGTGTGGGCTGACCTGGGCCTGCCAATTGCCCCCTCAGAGTCTGCCCAACCAATGAATGAATGAGTGGATGAATGAAAGGAAATAGCAGGGCCCCTCAGGCACTTACATTTGGTTTTCAAAACACATGGAAGGTCCCACGACATTGGCGGCCCCGCTGTTAATTTTAAATGCAAAGTAGTCGGTGGGGCAGGACTTTCTGAGGCCGCACTTGAACTTCGGGACTCCTGGGGAGGAAACAGAGCAGCCTGGGTGAGCAGCCACTGGGATAGGGGTCTGAGGATAGCAGGGGAGGGCCAGAGAGCAGGCTCAGGCTTCACTGGCGACTTGGCTTGGGACCCCTGCTCTTCGGTGCCCCTACAGTGTCTTTAGCCACCCCATCAAAGCACATAGGGTGCTGGGTCCCACTGCCTGACTGCCAGTCTCCTCACCCAGTACAGAGCTGGGTGGGCTTCCCATCTGGGCACAGTGCTGGGGCCACTCGGGGGCCTCGGTGAATGTGCTTGGCCAGTGACAGAGTCATTGTGAATAAGGGGTTCTCCTGGGAGCCTCGCTCTGGGGTCACTTTTTGAGATTTCCGAGGTCCTCCACTGACAAGCACCCTGGGGCCCTGGCATGGTGGTTAGGGGCATCTTTAGGCAGTCCTTCGCCCTCTTTGTCCCTCTTCTTGCTCATCTATCAAGTGGAGCCCGCGCTAGGCTCTCGTGAGGGAGAGGGAGACCCGGACAATGCCCAGAATGGTGCCCCATTCTTCATTCCCACATGGAGGAGCACGTGCCATGTGTTGTGCCCAGCAGGCATCAGTACCCAGCCCCGCTGTTTTGTCAGACCAGGGCCTGCCCACAGGACCCACTAGGGGGCCTGAGAGGGACACATGGTCTGCCCGGAGCCCAGAGGCCTCAAAGACAGCTGGAGGCCCTGGGCCCTGCTCAGGCGCTGTGAGCTGGCATGTCACCTGTGCTTCTGCCTGGCAGCTTATAATTTATATTAATGCGTGTTTCTCACACCACCTGACAGCTCAGAAGGCACCATTAGGGAAGGTTGGATAAACGTGGAATTAGGGAATTTTCAGCTGCAAAAGGGAAACAGACACTTGACAGGTTTTCTCTTTCCCAGCCCCTGCCGCGACCCCAGGGGAGGGGGGGTGGGGGCTGAGGCCCTGCCGGGCTGGCATGGAAGCAAACCCGTTGGCTTGTCAACAGAGCTCACACAGCCACATTTGTGCCGGGTGCTGGGCACTTGCTATCTGTTACCTTGTTAAACCATCCCCACCTGGAGGGCACATGCAACACCATTTGGCATCCAGTCGGTTTTGACTCACCAGGCCTTTCTTTCTTCTGCAGGACCTCTGGGTGGGCTCAGACATGGGCATCAGGGGGCATCTTAACTGTTTCATTCCCAGGGACTCAGCCATAGGGAGGGGGTACCCAGACAACATGCATGGAATGACTTGGGACCAGGCTGAGTCTGAGGCCGGAGGTGCACAGGGCACCTTTAGTGACACAGGAAGAGTGCCTCTCTGGGTGGGCACAGTCCACTGGGCAAGACTTGCGGAGCCCATGGCACCTGCCAATAACTTCCGGCAGCCCCTTCCTAGGAGTTAGGGCCACCTGGACACCCCGCTGGGCTTCTGTTTCCTCGGGTGAGTGGACAGTCCTGGTGGTCTGAGGGGAATTGTCCAGTTCCTCCCCCGACTCGCTAGCTACCCACGTGATGGGGGTAAGGAGAAGTCAAAGCAGGGCCTCTCACAGAAAGGAGAGCAGGGTGTGGAGACATCCCCGAGGGAGGGTGGGAGAGAGTGGGCCTCAGGTCGGCAGTTCAAGACACATCCTGGGTTGGAGTCATGGCTCTGGTTCCCCTCCCTGGCCCTCTGTGGCAGAGGATGAGCTAAACTGAGGCAGGGTAATGTTGTGGATCGAATTTTGTGTCAACTTGGCCGGGCCATGCTGCACAGTGTAATGCAGTTACCCACACTCTTGTGATCTGATGTAATTATCCTTTGAGTTGTAAACCTTCACCTTCATGAGGCTAGCGAGGCAGGATTAGAAGCAGTTAGGTGAATGGATGAGGTTGTACCCCGAGCCACTCACATTTGAGATGCAAAAGATATTAAACAAGTGAGCAGAGAGGAGAGGGACCTACGATCACCAAGAAAGAAGAGTCGGGAGCAGAGCACTTCCTTGCACCATAGGTTGCCGAACTTATTTGGCATATCGCCCCTTTAAAAACAAACAAGCAAACAAATAAACCAACCTCAGCACCCCCTGGCAAAAAAACCCTTTAGTACTGTAACCCATAACCCAGGACAAAGTGTCTGCATCTGTCTTTACAGCCTTGCTGGATCATACCTGCACCCGCCACTAGAGGGTGGTATTGTCCACTTTGGGAAACCGTTTTGGACCCAGGGACCTTGCACGGAGAATCTCCTAGACCCAGGGGAGATTGATGCCAAGATACATGGCAATCTCCAAGGAATGCTGGGCTCACCAGTACTGAAAGCAGACAGGACCTTTCCCCAGAGGCTGCACACAGAGAAGCCTTATCTTAGAGCAGGTGCCCCCAAGTCAGATTTCTAGTCTCCTAAACGTGAGAGAACCACTCTGTCCATTAAAGCCACCTGCTGTGGTGTTTCTGTCACAGTAACACTAGAGAACAGAGACAAATCTTCACGGCTTCTCTTCTCCTAGAACCGCAGACCCCACATCCTGCCCCGGCCCCTTTATGGAGAGGCTGGCTTACTTTGGAGGCCGAAGGCTCTCTCACCTATGTGGGAGGCTTATTGCAAGCCTCAGGGAGCACACCTGGGTTTGTCCGGAGTATAATCAACTGCACTAAGTCTGCTAAACCCATGTCAACAGGCTGGCTTACGCAGGCTTTCCTGGAATTGATTTTCTGACCATCCAGCTTTCCCGGCAAGCTGCCGGAGGAAGGGGGAGATGCCCAGGGGTCTCAGCCACTGGGAGGCAGGGTGTTTACCTGCTGTGCTCTGGCTTATGGCCCACCCCACCTGCAGCCTTAAATCCAGAGGCCCAGCCTCTCAGAACCCCCTAACTCTGGGGCAAAGAGCATGGGGCTGGTGTGATAGGAAGAGCATGAGACTTGGGGGTTCGCATTGGGTGGTGCTAACAGTTAACTGCTGACTCAAAGGTTAGAGCTTCAGGTTGACCTCAGAAGAAGGCCTGGTGATCTACTCTAGAAAAACCAGGCATTGACACCCCCTCCCCCAACACGCATGGGGTCGCCATGAATAAGAGTCAACTTGACACCAGTGGGTCTGGTTTGGGAGTAGGGAGTGGGAGAAGTGTCAGGAAACCTGGGCTCTCATCCCAGCTCATCTACTGGCCTGTTGTGTGACATGCCAGAAGCATCTCGCTTTACTTTGGTCAATGATAAAATGCGGGGACTGATTTGTATCAAGATGATCAAACCGGTTTCCTCTTAAATGTCAACCAGTCTTTACTGCTAGGAGCTTAAAGAAAAGCTCCTGAGACTGCCCATAGACTTGGAGGGAAAGCATTCTAGAATCGATTGGTGAAGCCTACCATGGGAATCGGAAAGGGGGAAGCAGCATTTGTGCTTGGATTTGCCATCCCCTCAGCAGATGATGTCTATGTGTTGGTTCTGCACCAGGCTGCTGTGGATTCTGTGTCTGTGAGAATAAGACCTAGGGGGCTTCAAGAAGGTGAAGTTGAGGGCTTGGGGTAACTCATGTGGTTTTTGCTCTCTGTAATCCCACAGTGCACTGGGGCTCCATCAGGTGCAAGCCCAGTCTTTGAACGGCTTCCCTCTTTGGAGTCACCACCCCATGCAGAGGAGAAGGAGGGCACTCCAGGTGCCTCTGGCAAAGAGCTGCTGAGAGGGTTGACGCTGGAGCAGCCGGAGCAGCCGGCAAGGCTGACCACCACCACTTAGAGCTGCATGGCCTTGGCCAAGAGCTTCACTGGGCTGAGCCTCAGTTTTCTCTCCTATAAAGTAGGAGTGATTATAGCACCTACAGGGGTTGTTGAGGCCGACACGAGAGGCCCGTAAGTTCTGCACAGTGGCTGGCACATAGAGGCACGATCACGTCCTCCTCCTCCTTCTCATCATCGATACCCTTCCTTCTAGCTCCTCAGCACCATGCGCTCCTCACTGAAGTCTTACTCAGGCATCCACGAGGCTCCAGGGCGCTTGGCATTCCTGCCCCTCTGGGGTTCTGGCCTACTCCCCACCACTCACTGTGTCTGCCTCCCAGCCATGTCTCCACTGGTCCTCACGATCCTGCCTCCTGGTCTTTGCACTCCTGAGAAGTGGCGGCCATTCCCTCTTCCACGAGCTTCTAACTGCCTCATTCTCCAAGGCACATTGGAACCCCACCTTCTGAAGCCTTCCCTGAACCAGCCCACTCCAGGGGGTGCCTCTCCCTGGAGCGTGATTCCCCGCCCCCATTGGGGCACTTGGTATTCTACCCCAACCAGCATCCTCTCTGTGTGTCTTGGGCTTCCTGTGGTCGCAGGCATGTACCCTGGTAATTAGAAGTCATGTACCATGCGTGGAGGCCCTGTGCTCATGGAGGGCACCCAGCCAGGTGTGGGCCTCAGAGAGAGGAGGGGCAGGGGCTGTGAGGGGGGAGGCAGGGTTGGGGCCAGTACGGACAGCATGGTAGGGGATGGATGGTCTGGGAAAGGGGCCGGAAGACCTGGTGGGCCCTGGAGAAGAGACAGTGGGACGTCTCACCCTAGAGCACCAGTTCTCAACCTGTGAGCTGAGACCTCTTTGGGGGTCGAATGACCCTTTCGCAGGGGTCGCCTGATTCATCGCAGTAGCAAAATTACAGTGATGAAGTAGGAACAGAAATAATTTTATAGTTGGGGTCACCACAACATGAAGAACTGTATTAAAGGGTCACAGCATTAGGAAGGTTGAGAACCACTGCCCTAGAGCAATTGGGGTGTGTGTGGGGAGAGTAATGGGGGTGGGTGGGGAGTGTATACTCACGGGTCTCCTCCTTGGAGGCCAAGCCTGGAAGAGAAGACAGACCTAGTTAGCGAGAAAGTTCTTGGGCTCCCCTGTGGGAGGGCGGTTGTGGGCTGGGGTCCTATGTCAGGTCTCTAGAGGACAGGTTCCAAGTGGGAACAGAAATAGTAGGACCACAGGGAGATTATGAGAGAGGAATAAAAAAATAAGGGAATTGGCTGACTATACCAACTTGTTTCTTGTTCCCGGGGAGTTCCCTTTCCTGGCATTTCCCTGTGGTCTTCAGGGGGCTGTGCATCTGTGATCCCTCCCTCCATCGGTGTCTGGTGTAGCATGTGACCTCATCCGGGCCAATGATAATATTTCATTCCTCTGGCAGCAGTGATTGGCCCAGAGCTGGGCATGTGAAACTAGCAGAGCCAATTAGAGCTTTTCCATGGGTTGTTCTCGGGTCCTCCACTTCACTGCCCTCTAGGGCAGCGGTTCTCAACCTGTAGGTCGCGACCCCTTTGGGGGTTGAACGACCCTTTCACAGGGGTTCTCTAATTCATAACAGTAGCAAAATTACAGTGATGAAGTAGCAACAAAAATAATTTTATGGTTGGGGGGTCAGCATAACGAGTAACTGTATGAAAGGGTCACAGCATTAGGAAGGTTGAGAACCACTGATCTAGGGGATTCTGGCTCACAGTGAAGCTATAGGGCAGAGGAGAACTTCCCATGCGGGATTCTGAAACTTTTACTCTATTTGGGAGTAGAAAGTCTCATCTTTCTCCTGAGGAGTGGTGGGTGGTTTCAAACCGCTGACCTTGCAATTAGCAGTGCACCACATTATCGTTTACACCACCAGGGCTCCTGTGACAGGTGGCCCTAGGAGAGGGAAGTGCCTCTTTCAGGTAAACTGCGAGAGGAGCCTCTGGAGATCTGGTCCCCGTCATGCTTGACTTGGAAAGGAAGCTGTTCATGGCATGAGGTTCGTAACAGCAAGCAGAATCCAAAGATGCGGAGAGAACGGCTTTCTGGGCCTTTGGACCCAGTCAGGCCAGAGGCCAGATGGTCACGCACTCTCTCATTATGTGACTCAAGATATCCTGTTTTGTTCAAAGCAGTTCGAATTGGGTTAGGTAGTCCCTCCTACCTGAACGAACCCTGCTGAACATGCCAGGTAAGTTTGTTTGATCTCTGATTTTGGTACCCTGGGCCCTTTCAGCATTTTGGAATCTCCTCAGCATAAGATAGCTCCATCTTTCTGGGGACTCTTTGCACTTCCTACTCCAATAGGTTCCAAGTTATTAAATGCATAAAATAAAAGAGATTGATTACAAGGGAAGCCAATTATATACACAGAGAAGAAAGCATGAAGATTGGATTTGTGTTACAGTCCCCTGTGTGCTTCCATATGAATGCATTCAATAATAAAATGGGTGGGTGAAGACCCAGATTAGAAACCTCCAAAGAAAATGAACAGTCAGTCCCCCTTTAAATATCTGAACGCTAGAATGTTTTCTTTTTAAAAATAATTTCTTTAAAACAATTTTGTCACGTTGTCATGAGCATAAACACAGAAGAACCTAGGCCCGTTTGCTGCTTGTCTTCATGTATAATTTCACGACATTGATCTCAGTCTTTAAACGGTGCCACTGTGCTCACCTTCCTGTGCAGAGTCATTTCCAGTCACCTGATGTGGTTGCTGTCCCCTAAGGCTCTTATCAAACAGTCCTGTGCGTGCCCACTTGGTGCATTGTGGGTGGACTAGCGCCTCAGAGAGCGCACTGCCCAATGCAGACCTCCTTCCCGAGTGAAGCTCAGCTGTTCTTGGGCTTTAAGATGACTTCGGGGGATATTTTGGTTTAATGACGATCTCAGGGCAGTAGTTTGGGGACTTGAAAAAATGACAATCTTTCTTACTAGTTGTGTTCTCTAGATCCTGGGTTCTGGTAATGGACAAATATTTTTGAATGTTCCATGGGCAAACCTGTTTGACCCCAGCTCCGAAGGGCAGGGGCCCCTGCTGCATGAGACCAGTCATTGCACAGGGCAGGTTGAGTGAGAGGGGGAGTAGAGTTGTGATGAGGAGATGATGTCTGGGCTCTCCCCTCAAGCATTGGTCTTTCTTTGGCTCTAGGTGGGAGCAGTGCCCTTCTAGAGGATACTCCAAGCTCTGCTGTCTCAGCCTTGCTAGCTGACCTGCATACACTTCTTCCAAGGCCATCTCCCACCACTCACTGTGTCTGCCTCCCAGCCATGTCT